GTCAGCTGTCCTGGCTGTGCCCCCTCCAGCCTTCTCAGTCGGTAGGGCATGGGAAGCTGCAAAGACCTCAACTTAGTGTAAGCACTGCTTAGCAACAACAAAAGCATCAGTGTGGTATCAACATTGTTCTCATGCTAAATCTAGAACACAGCACTGTACCAGCTACTAGGAAAAAAATTAACTACCCCAGCCGCAACCAGGACACTTCTTCATAAAATCTGTTAAACTGCAGCTTGCAGAGGAAGTCTAAAGTACAGGGCAAATTAAACTAACCAGAGCTGTATTACTTACAGGAAAAAGAATTGAGATTACTGACGGCTCACTGCACAGAAACAGCATTTACTATGATGGAAAAGTGTATACCATGGATTAATTCTGTCAGTTTTGCACTGGCCTGTTTCTCATTTTACATGGCCAACACTTTGATCCATGTTATAACATAGGTACACAGAATCCTGGGAAACTTGCTGCCCAAACTAAAGATGAAATAATTTAATCATAGGTACTTGGACAGGAATTTTTCAAACCATTTTAATTATGTTTCATTGTTTACAGCCTGTGTCTTTCTGTGAGTATTACATCCAGAGATAATTTAAGAGCACAACCTGCTTGTAGGCTTAGGTGTGTGGGACATTTGAAAGAAAATGGAAAATTGGTTAGTTGTTATAGTTTAACTCCAGAACATTAAAGCTTGAATATCTCTGTGTTTTCTTTTTCTGTTCAGGAATTTAATATTTTTATGAATTTCTGTCTTTAATTTTGCCATTCCTGTGCCTGTAAATACATATATTCTCATGTAGTTTAGGAATGAGTGATAGCACTATGCTGATTTCAGACAGATTTTGTGCTCTGCTATATTCCTGTAACATCTCAGAATTTCCAGGGGCCTCAGAAGGGTTGTTCCAGATTTACGGTTATATAACTGTATAACATGGGCAGAATTTTATCCCTTTACATTTGCATTCAGAGCTAATACTTTAGTCATCCAGATCCCTAAACTGGTTATCCAGTCCAGTTCTTCAGTGCTGTTTTAACTGTTGCACTCACAACTTTTATGAATTTCATATAACATTAGATGATGGTAAATAGGTATAAACTGAGCTTTTAAAGATGGAAACTGCTGATATTTTTTACTAATTTCTAGATCTATTATGTCACTAGTACTCTTTGGGAAAGTTCTGATTTACAAAATATGATCTCATGGTGTGTTTTATCTTATTTGCTTCTTGCCATATTGCCAGAATGTGGTGTATTCAGACAGAGGCAACCAAAACGCATGCTTCAGCAGCCTATGCATGCAGAGAAAGAGTGCAAAGCTGGTTTTCATTTTCTAGAAACAGATCCTAGTTACAGTATACCTCCAGCTGAATGGCTTTTTATTATTGGTTTTGTGGTTTTGATTTTGATTGGGTTCTTTGGTTTTATGTTTTTGAGGCATGTGTATCATATGCTCACAGGAAAAGTCCAAGGTTCAGAAGTTTTCTTAGAGTGAATTTAATGCTTTTGAAAGCTTCACTGGAAAACATCATTCTCTGCCTGCTCACAAATACAGCACCTACAACTCCTTCTGCACTATTCAGGAAAGATCCCTTACAAAATACTACATATTTTTCCACCCTTGCTCATAAGGTACTACTCTAGAAAAGAAAAGAAAAGATGGCCTGTTTGGTCCTATGCTGAGTTTCTAAGACTACCACAAAAATTCTGTTTAAGAAAGGTCAACTTAAGAAATAGTATCTTGAAGAAGATATTAACTTAAGAAGTAATACCTTGTCACTAACCTCTATGAAGAGCTTTTGGTTTTCAAACATCTATGTAGTTCAGCTGAACTGTCAATTCCCCTGCCCTTAGTAATTTAAAACCCGTATTTTCCATAGAACTATTCAGCAGTATGCAAAATATTATTGGCAGAAGGGGAAAAAAAAAGATTCTGATCAGAAATCAGAACTGCCTCAGTAAAAGCCTGGTTCAAATACGCACGGAATGGGGCCTAAGTTGCCAGTTTCATTTGTGGGGAGTTCACGTGAAATCACTTACAATGATCTGGGTCTTCAGGAAAAGCTGTGAAGATCAACCACTCAGCGATGTCTGTTCTTATCTTGAGCACTAATATATTTTTCTCCTTGCTATCTTTTAATTTTTTTTTCATCTAACTATATCTATTAAATTGTAGATTAGTGATAGATAGATACAGATACAATCATTTCCCTTTTTTTTTGCAGTCCTTTATACTTTATAGTTTTGCTCTCTTTTCCTCCCTTGGCTTATTTGATTTGTATTTTATCTCTGTTGAAGGAATGCAAATACCATTATACTCACTTCTCAGGTGACTTTTCAAACCAGTTATATTTGAACGGCTAGAAATTTAAAAAAAAAATGTTTTTGCTAAACCTCTGGTGGTGCGCACTCTTCTTGTTTATTTGCATTTAGGCTCCTGTGATAATATTCCGGTAAGATCTGAGATAGGATTTTCATTTCCAAGAACTAGACTAATTTGTGAAACTGGAGATGGAATACTCAGTGTGACTTCTCAGGTGATAAGATAGCACTCAGTGAAATAGCAAGGAGCATTTAACAGCTTTGCAGAAAGGATCCTTTTTCTGAGAGCGTTCAACCCCGATAGAACCAGGAAGTTTAGAAATTGTGTAGAAAGTCGTGCCCTCCCGAGATCTGGTCACTGTCTAGGTCAAGAGTTAGACATGGTTTAGACAAGGTTCACATGCTGATGCTTTGTCATCCGTAGGTGAAGAAGCTGATACGAATTTGAG